CAACACAGAAGCTTTTAGCAATATTCCAGCAATATCACGACGGGGACACCAGCAATGGGCTTCACACATTGTACCCATGTGGGGAATCAACCCGGTCTTCGGCATGACGAGCTTAACACTTTAACCACAAGGCTACCCACACTTCCCACCCCAACCATGAAGAATTGGGTTAGAACTGTTCTTCAGCCACCCATGCCTGTCATATGAGGGGACAAAGGGCACTGGGTGACCAGGCTATAGGACTTGGTTGATGCATGTCATCATATACCAATTTCTCCAACTAGTGCTCATGAGGCAGTTATTACATTCATCCACACCTGATAAAATTATTAGATTCATTATTAGATTATTTAGACCAAGTTTGGTAGGGACCTTTTGAGCTGTTTCATAAACAAACTACTCATCCCAAAAGAACTGAATTAACGTCAACCAGTTTCAGTTAGTGCCAAGAGTCTTCAAACTTGGTATTTAACATTATTTTCAGTAGATCTTAGTGACCTAACTTGGACAATTACTAGATGGATGGTCGGTTGGTTGGTTGATTAACATCACACTCAACAGTATTCCAGCTATATGGCGGCAGTCTGTAAATAATTGTCTGGACCCGACAATGGAGTGAACAACATCATGAGCATCAATCTACGCAATTGGGATACCATGACATGTGTCAGCCAGGTCAGCGAGTCTGATCACTCGATCCTGTTAGTCGCCTCTTACGACAGGCACGAGTTACTGCCGACCAATTCTAACCTGGATCTCAATCATGAGATGACTTTACTAGACAGAATTTGACTAAACTAAGAGTAAAGTAACAGACTGCAGACTGAAAGTGCACGTGGACTGTGTACTTCCTTAGTCCAGGGTGAACTTTTGAACAGCAGTCCAGCAGTTGAAACAGTTTCACTACGCTTCAGTAATACTTGTAAAGTTTCCTTGACTCCGATCGTAACATCACTTCCTGTTTCTGTATCATGTACAGTTAGAACTCCAGACATAGCTTAGCTGGTAGAATTACAGGATATATGGTAGAGTTACAGGTCAGACTGTCTGAGTGAGTGAGTGAGTGAGTGAGTGAGTGAGTGAGTGAGTGAGTGAGTGAGTGAGTGAGTGAGTGAGTGAGTGAGTGAGTGAGTGAGTGAGTGAGTGATTGAGTGAGTGATCGAGTGAGTGAGTGAGTGAGTGAGGATAATATTATAACAGGAATCACCAGTTGTGTTCAATTCTCCATCAAAACAAAGATGATTATTACAAAGAAGATAATGATCGATGCATTCCTACTATTAGTCATAAAATTTCTCAACGCTCTCACATAACAAGATCACATGATCATCGCTCCAGAATTTCTTAGGACTCAAGAACATTACATCCTATCTCAGGACAAGCATGCTCACAAAAACTAGTACCGGTAGTTTCATCATAGTTTCAAATCAACATCTTTTCTATTATGCTTCTGTGTTACTTTGTTGACAAACTGACAATATCTGTCCCCACAAACTAATGTTCAAAGTGAAAATGGCCCAAGTGAAAGTGAGGGCCTGTAACCCATTTCACAAAGCTCTCATAAGCCTAAGATCTTGTAACTTTTCTCATAGCATTCGTACCTCCAAGGTTACAGTATAGGAGGTATGAATGCTACAAGAAAAGTTACGAGATCTTAGGATTACAAGAGCTTTGTGAAACAGGGCCCAGGTATCAGAAAAGCAGTATTTTAAAAGATAGAACGACCCTTGTTCTTTTCAGGGGTAAATATCCTGAGAGCTACTGCTACACCAAAAGACACTATGAAGCTGCACATTGTCCATCTTTAAACATGCGAAGAAAACAGAATAAACAACTTACATGATAAAAAATGTATCAGACACTCAAGTTTTATGGGAGCTTTTAACACTGCACTTGTCTCAATGCTTGGTAATCTGTTCAAAGAAACCATGCCTCACACTTTCCCCTTTATCTGAGGAGCATACACAGGATCCTCATTAAGGTGAGTGAGTGAGTGAGTGAGTATCATTTTACATCGCTTTTAGCAATATTCCAGCAATATCACGACAGGGGATGCAAGAAATGGGCTTCACACATTGTACCCATGTGGGGGTCTTAGGCATGATGAGTGAACGCTTTAACCACTAGGGTGTACCCTACTGCCCATTCTCCTCATTAAGGGTTAGTGGTAGGTTTAGTGGGCTAACTTAGGATGCAAGAAATATGTTCACACATACCTTGGGGTCTTAGGCATGATTCAAAGACATTACTTTCATAAATTAACAACATTATATGATTAATTTCATTGAAGGAGTTGTGACTGTCCAGAACAATTCCCAGTTCAAGCAAGCAAGCCATTTTCAGTTTATCGGTTCCTGACATAAGTGCTATTCAAATAAAACTAGCAAAACAAAATTACATTTTTCACAATTTGAACTGGGAATTGTTTTTTTACAACAACAGCAACAATCTGAGAAAATCCTGGCCAGAGGATTCCAAATATCTGACATACGTCTGCAGTTATTGAAAGTTGAAGGGTAGGGATCGAGATAAATAACTTTTCTCAAGAGTTTCAAATTAGGCACAAAGGTCTACTAGCCCTCGTCACAACCCTCATCTTGCTCATGCTGGAAGTTACATATTGGAGGACCTGTAAATAAAAATATTATAGGTGCCACAAAGAGGAACCCTTAATCCTCTTAATGTTTAACACTGCTTATGCTAAAATTACAGACAAAGGAATCTAGATCAAAATGCTGTGAGCGTAACCTTAAGGACCTGAGAACACCAGTTAACTTTTTTAAAGCTTTTGGAAATCTTCCATTAAGGGCGACACCAGAAATGGGATTCCTATATTGTGGCCATGTGGGGATTTGAACACAGGCCTTCAGTGTTAAGTGAGTCAGTCAGTCAGTCAGTTGACTGGCGTGAGAGGCCAGCATGCTAACCACTACACACATTGTTGGATGAGTGAGTGAGGTTTTACGCAGCTTTTAGCAATATTCCAGCAATATCATGGTGACGGGCACCAGAAATGGGCTTCACACATTGTGCCCATGTGTGGAATCGAACCCGGGTCTTCGGCCAACACCTTAACCACTTGACTACCCCACCGCCCCTTCAGTGTTAAGAGTGAAAGCAAAAAAACAATAATCTACCTCTTCAGCCTCCTTAATTATAAACACTGATCACTTTAAATTACAGATCAAGGGGAAAGGTTAAACTCATTAAAATGATCTAAAATGTTATAGAAGGAACATAAAGGTATTCAGCACGGTTGCTGCACCTCTTTAATTATGAATGAGTTGAACACAAAATTTCACTGAATTCACAGATAGAAAATTGTAGATTAACTTCTTCAGTACAAAAGCAACAGGAAGACCATATTTTGAACACTGCTTAGCTTAACATTACAGATAGAGAGAACAAAGATTTAAATACTATAGCAGGAAGTCCATAGAACTGCTCAGAAGCCTGCTAATGCTGGCTTATTTTCCTTATCTTTAATATTCTGGGAACAATTCATTTTCTTCCACCCACACCACAGACAGAATAATTTATCTAACAATCAATCGGATCTGGTGAAAACCCCATCAGGAATTTCTCAATCACAGTAAAACAAACTCCCTCTCAATTGTTATTAGCGTATCTATGGTGACATCCGTTCAAACATTAACTTGCATAGACTTGCGCAAAAATTCATTGTGCTGAAAGAATGTAGTAAATTATGCAGTGCATTGGAGATAGAATCGGCAGGTAAGGATCAATCAATACAGGCTATTGTTGCCGATTGCTGCAGTCTATAGGCCTGTATGTTTCTCACATGGAGAATCGACATGTGTCATGCTGGCATTCAGGCCTTCTGTCAATAAGCAAGAGATATTTCTTTTTGGTTCATTCTATAATTGTTGTGGGAAGGAATTGTTCTGATGTAAAAAACAATACTGATGTGGAAAAGAAACTATACCAATTTTGGTTTTTATGTAACTGAAATTTGATAGGACTGTAGTTAAATTTGATAATGTCCATTTTACCATCATTTATTCCTGCAAAGTAATCTGTGGCTTGGTAAATATGTGTAAAAAGAAATTGGATTAATAAAAACTACTACAAGAAATTAATTTGCATCCCATGTTCCCTACGATTTTCTAACTTTTTTATAAAAAATATGACCCAAAATAAGACAAAATTTATCAATTTTCAAAGATAAACAGTATAAGATATCCATGAGTATTTTATCTTTATTACTTTTTGATTTTACAAAATTTACATGAAATCAAATTTATAAAACAAAATCCCCATACATAAGTATGCTTTGAGTGATGATGAAGCACTAGTAGTTTGTGTTTGTTTTTTGAGGGGGTGGGGTGTTAATATCCCCCACAGCGTATTTGTAAATAACATGTTGGGTAGTTGTATGAGTAGAAATTTACCTTTCAATTTTCTTCAAACACCTAACAATTTCTTGAATTGATAGACAAGGTACATGACTTTGAAGGATGGATAGATTAGAACTTGGATGGATGGATGGATGGATGGTGGCAAAGACAGGTAAATAGTTGGCTGATTGGTGGCATGGACAGGTATGGTTTGGTTGCTGCTTAACGCCACACTTAGCAATATTCCAGCTATATGGCAGCAGTCTGTAAATAATCAAGTCTGGACCAGGCAATCTAGTGATCAACAGCATGAGCATCGACCTACGCCACTGTCAGCCAGTCAACAAAGTCAGCGAGCCTGATCACCCGATCCCATTAGTCGTCTCTTACAACAAGCATGGGTTGCTGAAGACCAATTCTAACCTGTATCTTGGCTGATGGACGGGTGGATAGATTGGCTGTTGGGTGGATGGACTGATTGTCTGGTGGGTTAACGGATGGGTGGATGGTTGGAGAGGATAGGTTAACAATGAACAGACAAGATGGATGGATGAATAGATGTAGAGGATGGATGGCTGGAAGGATGGCATGAACAGACAGACAGGATGGTGGAAGGAATGGGTGTGGATAGATGTTTCTTACCTGTATCTCTATCTTCATTTTTATCAATCTCATGCTTCCGTATTTGGAGTTCTTTTTTCAAAATATTTATTGTGGTGGCTCTTTCTTCCTGTTTCATAAACTCCACAAGATCATAGGGTCGTCGCAGGTTGAATACACTGTCCGCCTGAAACCATCAAACAGTATTACTTCATTTAATTATTGTTTGATCGGCTGTGAGTCAAATATGAATCACACAACTTTATGGATGACAACTTCTTGTTAATTGCATATTGCATTCATTTATTTATTTGTGCAGCAATTTCATGCAGATCCTGGATTTTGTCTTTGTCAACAACATGTCCACATCATCGTGTGACCTGCTCAGGTGATATGTTCATTACAAGTGCAGTCTGAAGTTCAAATATCAACCAAGTAGTCATTTGACTGACAAAAAATATTGCAAGAGTCCCAGAGGTACAGATAACCTGTGTATCTGCATAAATTACGCAAATATTTATGTGAAAACTCAATTCCTATTAAGTCTATTGCATACAAGTATGCTTGAATTTTTGTAAATACTCAATAAATTTGTACACAAAAATAGATAAAATAACTGAGGTATATTGAGAGGTTCTATTTCAGCACATAAACTTGACAACTTGCAGTCTTTCTCATCACTTCTCATATTACAGATCAAATATAAATAACAAAAACGTAAACCAACATTTAAACTTTATCATATTTTTACAATTAACGGAAAATAGCAAAATACCCATCCTTGTTTGAGTGAGGTGGGTACAATTTATTTGTTTACTCAGAGGAAAATTGGGATACCCAATTCAGATGAGTACAAGCGTAACTCAATGACCCAAAACATTACCTGTAGCTCTGCAAGACTCAAAAGGCAATGTTTTAACAGTAGGGCTGCGCAATATAACTGGTTTACCGGTTCAGACATGAAAACGATGCGTATTGCAATACGCTGATCGAAAACCGGTATTTTCACATGCATTCGAAAACTTCGTAACACTTGGAAAACTTCGGATATTTCCTTGTTTCATTTGTGCCAAATATTATTTCAATTTTTATTTTGTCATGATTAAAACTTTTATTAAAGCTTAATCAAGCATAGTGATCTTGTTGTGTTTTTGCTTTATAAATCAAGCATTAACTCGATTATAAGTATTTTTTGTTATAAAAAAAACATCTTGCAATATACTGTAATACATATCGCAACATATGCTTTTGCATCGCAATATATCGCAATATGAAAATTTCTCTGCAATACCCTCCTCTATTTAACAGGGGATCAGTTTCTGTGAGCTAATTTTCTCCCAATTACAATCCTTAAGATGTCTTGCCTATTGACAGTAACAGATGGTGGGGTAACCTCACGGTGAAAGCATTCGCTTCTCACACAAAAGATTCAGGCTGATTCCCCACATGGTACGATGTGTGAAGCCCATTTCTGACTTATAACTCGTTTACCATTGACTGAACTGAACAGCCAATCAATCCTTTATCCTTCAATATCATGGTTAGTTCATCGCTTGACATCGTCAATGAGCAGTTATATTTTACAACGACAATTTGATTGTCTCAGGAACTAAGTGACACTTTCCTAAACTATTTCACTGTTTCACGAACAAAAGACACTTTAGACTTGAATTACTCTGGTATTTATCAAATCGTGATAAACATAGTGAGTGAGTTTAGTTTTACGCCGCACTCAGCAATATTCCAGCTATATGGCGGCGGTCTGTAAATAATCAAGTCTGGACCAGACAATCCAGTGATCAACAGCATGAGCATTGATCTGCGCAAATGGAAACCGATGACATGTGTCAACCCAGTCAGCGAGCCTGATCACCCGATCCCGTTAGTCACCTCTTATGACAAGCATGGGTTACTGGAGGCACATTCTAACCCGGGCCTTTACGGGTTTATCTATTGAAAGAAATTTGCAGTAGTTATGAGTTTCTCATATAACCTGTAATGTATGAGTTTGCTAGAGGGAGCATGGATCTTTGGGTGTTTGGCTCAGTGCTGGAAGGTCAGGATGCAGGTGATTACATGATGGTATTGAAATATTCTCAAGGAAATCGAAACTGGGTTATAGAACTTAGTAGAGGGACCTTCAGTAGGTGTAAGCGTAGTTCTCCCACCAAGACTAAAGATATGGCCTTCCCATCAACAATAGGGACCCCTAGTCAAAAATACTATCATCATACAGGTTTTTCCAGCCATGGTCCATAAATTTGAAACCAGACCATCAGTTTCATGACATGCTCTAGGTGCAGCATGTGTCACTGGTAGACTATTCAAGTCAGTCTAGTTGTGCAGTGGAATAAATTATATATCAACAGCATGAGCATTGATCTGCGCAATTGGGAACCGATGACATGTGTCAACCAAGTCAGCGAGCCTGACCACCCGATCCCGTTAGTCACTTCTTACGACAAGTATAGTCGCCTTTTGTGGCAAGCATGGGTTGCTGAAGACCTATTCTACTGTATCCGTAAAAAATTGCATTAATTTCCCTATATTCGTGACATATGTCACATTGACCTCACAGTGAATTCATTGCAGCCCTTCCATTCAGTGCAACTGTACATGGTTTGATAGAATGATACCACACAAGCCATCATCCAAAGACCAGGGCCCTGTTCCACAAAGTGATCATAGTGCTAGGATGATCGTAACTCCCATTATACTTTAACATAGACTTACAACAGTCGTAGCGCTACGATCACTTCGTGGAACGGGGCCCTGCAGTAGTCGCATCAGACATTTTAACATCTTTACCATGTTTACTCACCGTTCGAAATACCTGCCTGCCGACCGCTCGGGACAGGTTATTTTCAATAGGGACTGCCTATTCTCAAATCCACCTGCCCGACGGTCGGGTTAAAATTTAGACATGTATATGAAGAAATCCATCACATATCAGGATAACAAATCATTAATAATTCACTTGTAAAAATAAAGTAAATAAAGCCAGACCAATTTATTTCTTGTTTTATGGATCTGCCTGTCGTAATTTTTTTCAAGAATAAGAAAAAAATAAAAATTATTTTTCCAGCTCAAAAAATAAAATCCTCATGTTTTTATTGGCCAAATATGTAAACTTACCCCCAAATTTTTGATTGTTTTTTGCCCCATATACACTTCATAAAATGCCAAAAATAGAATACTTTTAGTATTTAAAAGGAATATTACTTTGACTGGTGATTTTTAATTTTAATTTTGTTCCCTCCTGCCTTTAGGTTTTCTGAGGACAAAAATCCGTAAAACAAGGTTCAGGTTCCGAAACTCCCATCTAACTAAGTGGTTGTTTTTTTTCAGTTTAAATGGATTTATTTGTTACGGTTTTACAGAATTTCTTGTTATGCACGCTGGCATTCAAAATGGCCACACCCATCCATGTAAAACTGTCATACTCATATTGAGAGCGCCATCGACAAATAGCTTGTTTGGGTGCAAAAATAGGTTTTGAAACATTTGAGTTGGTTACAATAATTGCATTTTCCACTACATGAATCACAATAAGTATTATTTATAGAATTTTAGGTGTGTCACCAGGGCGCCGTGACAATATTTCATCTGTGCAATTTCAATATTTACTGTGCCATGGTACTCAAATTAACTCTTTCAACACCAGTCAACCAGAGGCTTTTACTGCCATGACACCGAGTTCCCAGAGACTCTGAGGTCACAGATGGAGCCTATGTTTATCAAGGAAAATATCAGCTAATAAAACATTATTGCTACTACATATCATACACCATTTGAAAGGTCTAATCCTACTGTTTATAAATATGAATTTATTTTTGATCATATTATTCAAATAATCCAACTACAACTTAAATAAGTTGTTTTTTAATGAAAATGCAAGCTTGAACTTGTATAATGTACAGATAAACCACGATAGAAGCAAAAAATGCGGCGATCTTTTCCATATGTAACATGTCATAATATCCCCGTACCTTTTTCTTCTATATTTTCATTTTTACGCAATCGGAAAATTATTTTTAAAAAGATTGCTCAAATAACATGTATGGTCGTCAATTTCCCGATATCAGTGGCTTTCCGCTCCGTTACGTGATACAACAGCAGGAAATAACTGCGGTTTTGAAGCTTTGTTTGGATAACATGTGAGGCGATTGTTTGATGGCGGGTATCGTTCGAAAGCTCTGAACATCAACAATATCACTGTACCCTTGCCAAGAGTAGTTTCACAGTTGTAAGAAGCAATTTTATTGGATAAAGATTGGTTTCTAATGACGCTTTTTCGCTACAGTCTGCAATAAAGATCGTGATTGGTCAAAATCGTACACGTGACCTAAGGCAGCCAATCATATTACAGCAATTGATACCGTCCTCGTAAACAAAAACTTCAGACGAAAGTTTTGGGTAAAATCACGCTAATCTGAACGTGTTACGCAAAAAGTCACTACCTATACGTATATTATGGAACTTAGTGTATGTGTCAGGCTAGGTTATGACATGTGACAAAAATGCTTCATGCATATATTTTAGCATTAAACATCGTGTCCAAGTGTGAAGTTTGAGGTGACGAAAGCCGAGATGTCACTTGAATTACATTACACGATCGCTCAAAAAGATGGACATAGTAAGTTTTAATGTACGTTTGACAACTTTTATGAGTACCGTTGTTGACATTTTTCTTCAGTTTATTCAGTTTGTTTAATTATTTCCTCGAAACATCGTTACTTTGCTCTTTGACAACTTTGCCATGGACCCGTTGCCGAAGCATGTGTGCGAGAATTGTTTTTTTCAATAACATTGCGAAAAATAGTTTATAATTTTAATCCTGTCGATAATATATGGTCAATTGAAATTTAATAAGTTTTTTTTCCGACATTGCGAAAAGTGATAGATTTCATAAAAGAATCATATGTCAGTTAGGTTCCTAAAATTATGTATCATTTTGATACGACTACTGCCTGGCCAGTTGACCGTCCTACGGTGTCTGGGGACTCGTGACGTCTTGGCCGGTTTTCCGCCCTACGGTGTTGAATGGGTTAAGGAGTATTTCAATCCCTGTACACCAACAGTGCTGCCTATATACCTTTAAACTTAAAACCTGTTAAGGTCCGGGTTAGAATGAACCTTCATGTTTGTCATAAGAAGCCACTAACGGAATCGGGTGGTCAGGCTCGC